TATCATGGTGATATATCCTCACATTTCTCACATCCTAGTACTTCCGTTGAGCAGCTTCCAGGGCTTTTAATTTTCGTCGAAACTCGAGAGCTTAGCGGTCGTAACCATATCGCTAAGGGATAGAATACTTGACTCACGAAGCCTCTAACCATTGTTCCTTGGGCACCGGTGCTGAAGTTTATCAGTTGGTGGGTGGCAGGAAGTGATAACAGCTTATTAGCTTATCAGCTGTTATCACGTCCTGCCACCCACCAATAATGTTCCCATCCTGCCCCCTCTAACTTCTTGGAACCCACATCCCGTCGTCGCTGTGGTCCGCGCTATGGAGCTGGTGACCCTTCCTTTTTAAGGCCCCTTGTGGTATCTTATCAGCTGTTATCACTACCTGTCACCCACCAATAAGGTTCCCATCCCGCCCCCTATCTAACTTCTTGAAATCAACGTCCCATCGCTGCTGTGGCCGGTGTTATGAATTAGGCAGCTCACTCTTTTGAGGCCCTTGTGGTATCTTATCAGCTCTTATCACTTCCTGGCACCCACCAATAATGTTCCCGTCCTGCCTCCTATCTTACTTCTTGGAACCAACGCTCTAGTCTTGCTGTGACGCGCGTTATGAATTTGCTGACTTCGCCTTTATACGGCCCCTATGGTATCTTATCAAGTGCTATCGCTTCCTGCCACCCACCAATAATGTTCCTGCCCGACCTCCTACAACATCTATCAGTTTGAGCGCATTATCGCTGTTTTGAAGAAAGTTATGAATTTCCGTCCAGAACACACCACAGACAGACATTCGACACACACACACACACTACACCAACTAGACAAACTTTAGCGGATTATATATAGTAGGATCCACTGAATCTAATTCAATAGCTGCTATTCAGGATTAACGAATACTCCGATTTCAATAGATGAACACAGTACCAACAAAAGAGGGGCTGTGGTAGTGTGTGATGGAACCCCTACCTATAATGGGATCACCGGCTGCGGGTTATATCGCACATCTGCTGCTGAAGTGAATTGGGACCAGACGATCGATAAAGTCAGCAGGAGCAACTTTGTTCATTTGTGTGTATCAAGCGCATTCCGTTAGCGCAGTACATTGCAATTTCTCGTCTTTTACATGTTCTCCTTTTTGGCTTTTCATCTTTCGTGCACTTTTTTCTTTGCAATGCCTGAAGCGGAACCCACGCGTCCAAAATATCAGACAGGGTTGACGCGGTTCTGTAAAGGATCTTCCACGCATAATCAATGAAAGCAAAAAGGTTGCTAAAACGAACCACGTTAATTTTTCGAGCTGAAAGACATCACAAAATATTCAGTCAGTGCAAGATATGCAGTTGGAAACACCGCGTGAGCACGCCTTCATGATGACTCATGGGAATTTTTCAGCAGAAGGCATGCGGAAGCAAGCAAATCGAAAAATCGAAGGAGTCGACAGCTTCATGGACAGGGGCAAGCGCCGGTCCTCTCCTACCATCTTCAGGGCCTGGCCTGCCTCAGCGAGATCTACTGCTCTTGTTTATGCCTGTATCAGCTCACTCATTCCGTTGTCTTACCTGCACAATGTATCTTTGCATGAGTTCCTTCATTCATGTCTCCTTTTAACAAATGTCTATGTCCTTGTTGTCTTTTTGCTGTTAGGACAAACTTTATCGTTCAAGTGAGTTGGGAGCAGAAGCAATGTGCGAGCATCATCGAATGGAAGTGCTCGCTGTCTTTAGCATTGGAACCAGCAGACGTAAGGCAGCAGCCAAGCCAATCGATGAATAATGCCGCTATTCATGAGAAGACTGAAGAAGCCATTGACGATGACAGTGATGATGTCAATACGAAAGAACAAAAAGCAGAAACAGAGAATCTCCGTAGCGTTGAGGAACCGCATTGCGCAGAAAGCAAAACGAAGCATATTGCATTGGCTGAGGATCGTCAAGAGCGAGTAACCACTGCATAATGTGCCCACTAGGCAATTTCACCTGGAGGTCCGCCTGTTGCACCAAGAACAGACCATCTCGTCACCATCCAAACCGTGATGTGGCAGCCTTTCTATCAGCAACCTAGCCTGTAGCGGGTTGTTACCACCAATTAAGGTGATAGATATCGATCCGAAGTCATGGCGTAGTAGTTCCTTTACACGTTCATGCTTTACCTGATAACGACGACAGAATTCCAGGAGAACATCTGCAGATTCCACAGACGCGCAGAAAACGAAGAAAAGAAGAAAAACATTCCTGAGAAACACACTGTGGTTGGACTGTAGAAGCGAAACACCTGCAGTCTGCTATGAAAGCCTGTGACTCTTTTGGTCGCCGTAGCGCAGTTAACTTTCGTTTGCTTTGTCATTATGTTGTCGTCTTGCTTCATTATTATATGTTATTGATGTATTCGTAGTTGAATAGCCCAAGTTTTAGGTAGTCAGATGAAGAAGTTGACTACTGTGGCAGTATCGCATCGTGGACACCACCCGCGCCCAACTCTAAGAACATCACCGGAAATGAACCTGCTTCTTCGAGGTGTTGAAAAGTGTAAATATTGCGTGGAGCGCTGTGGAGAGGGCCAACATCTCCCAGGAACGCGTTGCTTCCATTGCCAAGAGTATACCGATCACTTAGCAGTAAGCGACTTTCCGGAACAAAGCCAAGGCTTATTGGATCAACAGAACACGTGGCAATATGATGACGTATTGAAGAGATCGTGGTAGTTATAAGATCGTAATAAAGAGAGTTAAATGCGCTTCCAAAAATCACGCTCGATCACGAATATTGGGATATCGTGGTACCACGCTTCGTTTGTTACTGAATTGCTGTGACATTCAGCTCTACACAGTGTTTCTATCTAGCCTGATTCCAGCATATCGTTTAGCGCTTTCGAGGCTCGATTTGGCTTCGCAGATGGCACTCTTTTGTATGGAAGGGCACGATGTCGGAGTCTACAGCTGTGGCGCTTGTGCTGATGCATATGAAGGCTTTCTTCACAGAACTCCCTATGTTCGATTCCACTTATCTGTTCAGTGTTCTTCGCATTGAACTTGCTTGACTTTATGATTTGACTGTTATGTGCTCTAGATTCTTTTCTCCTTACTCTTAGAACGACTTATTATTTCATTTATATGTTCTAATTCAATTCGCTTATATTCACATTGATTGCACATTAACATATTATGATTCAGATGACGAACACTTATTAGTATCTAGTTCAATAACCCAAGTAGAGGCCGAAGATAAAATTGTTGCGCTTATCTTTGTGTAGGTCTTGTGCAGTGAAACTGTATGTGAGACAGCGGCCGCAAATTTATTAAGGGGGGGGGCGCCACTTTGAGCCTTGCTCACGCGGCTCTTCTCTATGAGTAGGAGCATTTGCACCAATGAGGAGCTTGCAGCACCAAGCTTGGCCCCACCCATTTGTCCGGCGCCGAATGCGAATTTGGCGGGATTGCAGCAGATATTAGGTTGTCCGGAAAGTTCTCAGCGTTTTGAGTGTTTCACTTTAAACGATCATAACTTTCTTAATACTCATCGGATTTAATCGAAACAAGCACCGTTCGAATCAGCACACTTTTGCCAATGTGACACCAGTCGAGAAATCCCATCAAAGGAAAAACTGGGTGGTCGAGAATCTACGAAATCCACGAAGGCTTTTTTGCCTGGTCCTAATTGATGAGGTATTTTCCAGCAAGGAAGTTCTGCAAATGTTTGAAAAGGTGATAGTCGGTTGGAAGGTCTGGAGAATATGGCGGGTGAGGTAGAACTTCAACCCCCAATTCGTTCAATTTATGGATAGTGATTTGTGAAACGTGTGGGCGGGCGTTGTTGCAGCAGAATCGGACCCTCTCTGTTGACAAGTGCTGGCTGCAGCTGACGCAATTTTCGGTAAATTTCGTCGATTTCTTCACAGTAGGACTCTGCTGTGATGGTTTGGCCTGGTAACAAAAAGTTATAGTGGATCACACCAGCCGATGACTACCACACTGTGACCATAACCTTTTTGTCGTGAGGATTCGGCTTTGGAAATTGCCTCAGTGGTGCGCCGTCCAATCAGTGTCCGAAACGTCTCCTGTTATCATACATGATCTTCTTTTCATCACACGTGACAACTCGGTCCAAAAGCGAGTCGTTTCTGTTGAAAGCGAAGAAGAAACCTCGAGACGTGCCAATTTCTGCCTCAAATTGTGGGGCACCCACTTGTCGAGTTTTTTTCACCTTCCAATGCTTTTCAGACCAGTGGATTTGCCAACGCCTAGCTTTTCTGCAATCTCTCGAACTGTTTGGGATGGGTCACCCTCCACAAATGCCTTCAAATCCTCGTCAGGTATTGCTTTAGGTCGACCGCTACGAGGTTCATCTTCAAGGCTGAAATCTCCAGAACGAAATTTGTCGAACCATTGTCGCACGGTGCTTTCTCCAACACTATTGGGCCCCCACACCTGGTTAATTTTCGAGCTGTCTCGACTGCGGATTGACCCAATTTGTAGTTGAAGAAAAATATCGTCCGAAGTTGCTCTTTTGACATGCTTGAAAAAGGGGGTTTATCAAGCAATGGTGAAACGGCAATTATACCATCAGATAGCGCAAAAAATTCTCTTCAGGATGTACGAGAATGAGTTTTTAATCAGCAATGAATGTACAAAAAATAGTAACACAAAACGCTGAGAACTTTCCGGACAACCTAATATTTCAATTTCAAAAGCAATTTATGGACTAAGCAGTGAGCGGTATCTACTATGGCTGGAGCTGTTGATGAGCTAAGGTCGCGCACTTACTCGAGCGATTCAACTGCAAATAACTGCATCTCATAGGTGGACTGCAATTGGTTCAATCACATTCTGCAGAGCTCAATCATACTTTGCGTCAGCGTTTGAATGCACGCCGCTTTTGCCACTGCACACTTAGAATGCTCGTATAGAAGTTCCATCAACCACTGGTTCAAAGAGTAGCACTGGGGCGCGCTCGTCCGCAGAAGCGCAACTGAATCGCTCCAGATGCCAAGTGCGAACGAGCTCAAGTAAACGGTAACTCATGCCTATTATCACAGTGGGTGGTGAAGCTAGAATCAGTGCAAAACTCACGAGCTTCAATTGGTTCGTCATTCATAAGCTGATTAACAATCGACTCGGGCAACATATCTCTGAGTATCAGTTCTGGAAGATGAACACTTTTTGAGAAATCGACATGAGCCGGCTGTGATCAATACGTACCGGTTCTGTTCTTTTCAATTTCGAGATCCTTTGCCATTGTTTTCAACTGTTCATTGTTCGCTTCAAGTTGTAAGCTGAAAATATCGTAATTAAAACGGTGTGGGATGATACTGACTTGGTTAGGAGATTCGGGTTTCCAATCACTGGCGACACTGTACAGATTTGTTCGCTAAGATTCGCGTGACGCCACCTCGTTCTCCACGCAGGGCACATCATTGGTTGGAACTTTAAAGGCAGTTGGCACGATGGTTTCCTACTTAGCCTAAAATGCTAGTAGGGCGCTGTATAGTGGGGAAATGGCGAAAGAACGGAGTGAAACGGTCAAAATCCGGCGAAGAAAAAGCCTCCGTTCTCAGTGACTTGTAAATCGATTTCGGACGAGTTTCCCGTACGCATCTTGCCAATCACCGCTACCGAAGATACGGCTGCCCATATATGCATGCAGCATCACCGCCGCTTCATACCAATCCCTTTGCTTCATAATTTGCTCAGCAAATGAATGAATACGAGCGTCAGAAACGGTCGTCCGTTTGTGGGCGGGCAAGGAAGGCGTTTGGGACGTAAAGTTGTTGCTCAATAGGGCGTTATAGAGGTACCCTCCTTGGAAAAGGCTTCACGCAGCGCCTGTCCGAGGTCACGGAATTCTGTTGAAGCCAGTTGTACAAATCCTACACCTGTATAGCGATTTATCGTGCCAACTGCCTTTAAGTCGAGTCCGTACCCCTCCCTGGTTCCCTCCTCATCGAGCTGTCGAGCGGGAGGGGTGGGGGGGGGGAGTATATAGCACATGTGAAACGGAAGAGCTGCGAGGGGAATGCGACCCTCCTTCTACTTCTTCTTAGATTTTCCCCAACTTCCCTCCTCCTACCATTTTTCCAAAATTTCTCGAAAATTTTCCTACTTTTCTCCAAATTTTTTGCTCTCGAGCGGGGGGGGAGGGTATATACTACTCATGAAATAGGAAAATCACGAAAAGTCAGGCAAGCTTCTTCAGAAGGTCAGAAGGGGGTACTACCCCCCCCCTCTCCTCTTACCAACAACGAAGACCCCCTTACAACGTCCGTGAAACAAGAAAACTCAACTATCAAAATAAATTTTTCTCGGCCCAAAACGACTCCCTGCCTCTCCCAGTGACCTCCCCCTTGCTGGGGAATCCCCAACAACGATGTTCCCTGTCTCCACCAACTGTTGAAGCGGGCAAGCGACACCTGTCGGTGGGAAACCTCGCGCCAAACCCAGCGCACCCTCCTCTCCCTGCAGCATCCACTTCGATCGAGACTTAGCAGCAGTTATCAACCGGCCCGGCCATTAATCAGTTTTGTTTAACACTTTCCGCATTTATTTCGTTAGTTCTGCTGTACCACTCGAAGCTTTTGAGTGGAATTTTTATTCAACTGCCCAAAATTTCAACAAGGTCGTCTTCTTCAGAGGCCAGAACTCTACCGTAAATCCTCCGTCACACGCGGATGTTTAGTCAGTAGCAAGTTCTGCTAATAAAAATTTCACCTAAAACCTCGAGAGGCACAGCAGTACCAGCGAAATAGACAACGATGTCGAGGTTACAGTAAGAGAGAAGCTGGAGAATATTCAGAAACTTCTCCCATTGTCGTTTCCAAAATGAATACTGTTCTTTGAAGAACAGGGTACTACTGAATGTGGTCGATACTCCTCGGATTTCATGACCCACTTCACTTCAACATCGGTGAGACGTTGCTGATTGAGCAGTATCAGATCACGTGTTGCATCATGAAGTGGCATCGCAGTCAGACGCATACCAAACTGCATTAATTCATGGATGGAGGTTACATACGGTGAGCATATATAAATCAGACTCTGAAATAAAAAGAAAGTTAGACAAACCAGATTGAAGTTCTTTTGTGCTTTTCGTAAGAATTTTTTCCACTTTTTCCATTCCACAAATTCCACCTTGGTGACGAATGTAGGGAAGGGAGTCACTGCTA